GGATAGAGCACCGTGAAGCTGGCTCTCACGAGCTTCTCAGCGATGCCCGACGAGCTGGCGAGCGCCCGGCTATATTCAGGTCCTTTGGCAGCCTCAACATTTGGCAACACTGCGAGAACACTGATCCACGTTGCGGGTTCAGCGTGTGATCTTAGGCCAACCCCCGCCTTATACAGCAGTCCATGAGCGTTGGACGCATGACTCGCGGCTAGGGTGACGGAGATGGCTGCATACTTCCGATGAGCAGAGCCCGCTTGCTCAGCGTTCAAAAACTGTTGTTGTCGTAGTTGTTTGTTGTTTGTTCTTTTTTGTTGTTGTTCGTTGTTTGCACGCCCAATGTTCCTGAAGTTGCTTACCCGCATAAAGCATGTGCTGCGCTGCACCACGCAGGGAAAGATTAGCAATTCCAAAAAATCAGTATCCGACTGCACACCTAGCTCATGGTCAGGCTCCTTTTGCGCACCTGGCTGGCTGGCTCTGACTAGACAACCTACGCATCTCTGCGGCAGGGAATTTTCCACCCGTCAATCCCTCATTCTCCGTGATGGCCTCGCACCGTTCACCTTTGCTGCTTGCACACTTCGGCAATTCTGGCCCGAAAGCATTCGGAGGCCGTAAGCTTTCACTGTTTTACTTATTGTTGTTGACCCTGAAAGTCAAATTGGCAGATAGCCGCAGATAGCCGGCTGACACTGGCCTCAAGGGCTTGCGGCATGCGGAGGATGGGCTTGACAGACACGCTTTGCCATGCCAGGGTTGAGGCTGTGAGTCGGACAACCTGGGGTTTGGGCTTGCAGTAAGGTATGCCTTTAATGGCTTAGAGGATCTTGGGGTAGGATTTCTTACCTCAGGCTTTACAGAGCTTAGAGCCTTCAGAGCGTTTTTCTTTCTGACTTCATCCTCCATGCCCCAAAGCTGTCGAACACACAAACATTACCACACTGAATCGTCTTCAAAGCTCAACTTGCAAGGCCTCCATGCACGTCTAGACTTTTTGGGTTTGCACACCTAGGGATTGAGAGGTGCTTCAGACCTGGCTTCCCCTTGTGGCAGGTGTAGAATGAAGAAATTCAGTAGAAGAGCCAGCGCTGTCTCGAGCAGGGTTGCTGAAGCCTGTATTCTGTTGCAATGGCATCCCCCAATGCCAACAGACAAAGGCATTTTGGCCATGAGGCATGTCCGGCTCACCGAGGGTTCAGCTTTCTCTTTAGGAGTAGTCGGCTCAAAATATCGAAGAGCTGTGGAGAGGGTTTGCGCTAACTGATATTGTACCTCGGCCTACCAAGACTGTCTAGAGCCACTCCAAAGCTCTTTGGCATGCGGTCCCAAGCTGCAGCATGTAGCCGGCACTGTTGTGTTTGGTTCGGGGAAATGCGCTGCCGGGAGAAGCTGAGCGAGGCCGCCGCCGCAGCAGCAGCAGCAATAGCAGCAGCAGCAATAGCAGCAGCAGCAATAGCAGCAGCAGCAATAGCAGCAGCAGCAGCAGCAATAGCAGCAGCAGCAGCAGCAGCAGCAGCAGCAGCAGCAGCAGCAGCAGCAATAGCAGCAGCAGCAATAGCAGCAGCAGCAATGGCAGCAGCAGCAATGGCAGCAGCAGCAGCAGCAATAGCAGCAGCAGCAGCAATAGCAGCAGCAATAGCAATAGCAGCAGCAATAGCAATAGCAGCAGCAATAGCAGCAGCAGCAATAGCAGCAGCAGCAATAGCAGCAGCAGCAGCAATAGCAGCAGCAGCAGCAGCAGCAGCAATAGCAGCAGCAGCAGCAATAGCAGCAGCAGCAGCAGTAGCAATAGCAGCAGCAGCAGCAGCAGCAGCAACAGCAGCAATAGCAGCAATAGCAGCAATAGCAGCAGCATCTAGCAGCAGCATCTAGCAGCAGCAATAGCAGCAATAGCAGCAATAGCAGCAATAGCAGCAATAGCAGCAATAGCAGCAATAGCAGCAATAGCAGCAATAGCAGCAATAGCAGCAATAGCAGCAATAGCAGCAATAGCAGCAATAGCAGCAATAGCAGCAGCAGCAGCAGCAATAGCAGCAGCAGCAGCAACAGCAGCAGCAGCAGCAGCAGCAGCAGCAGCAGCAGCAGCAGCAATAGCAGCATAGCAATAGCAGCAGCAGCAATAGCAATAGCAGCAGCAATAGCAATAGCAGCAGCAATAGCAATAGCAGCAGCAATAGCAATAGCAGCAGCAACAGCAATAGCAGCAGCAATAGCAGTAGCAGCAGCAATAGCAGCAGCAGCAGCAGCAGCAGCAGCAGCAGCAGCAGCAGCAGCAGCAGCAATAGCAGCAATAGCAGCAATAGCAGCAATAGCAGCAATAGCAGCAATAGCAGCAATAGCAGCAATAGCAGCAATAGCAGCAATAGCAGCAATAGCAGCAGCAGCAATAGCAGCAGCAATAGCAGCAGCCATAGCAGCAGCCATAGCAGCAGCCATAGCAGCAGCCATAGCAGCAGCCATAGCAGCAGCCATAGCAGCAGCCATAGCAGCAGCCATAGCAGCAGCAATAGCAGTAGCAATAGCAGCAGCAGCAGCAGCAATAGCAGCAGCAACAGCAGCAGCAATGGCAGCAGCAATGGCAGCAGCAGCAGCAGCAGCAGCAGCGGCAGCAGCAGCGGCAGCGGCAGCAGCAGCAGCAGCAGCAGCAAGAGCAGCAGTAGCAGCAATGGCAGAACAGCAACAATGACGACAATTGTAATGACGAAAGCAAGAAGAAGCAGCAGCAAAAGCACCTGATTGAAGAGTCAGCGCTGACAATATTTTCCACTGCGCGCAACGCTGCTAGCTTTTGTTGCACGTGTCGCCCCTTAAGTATCCAGCATAAACAAAGTAAACCTCAATCCAAGCAGTACTTTATCATCAGTGGCAGCTGCATCCCGGCATTTAGGTCGACAAACATTGGATTGAGATCAGGCAGCAGGTGTGTGATTCCCAGTGAAGCGCTAATTGCTGCCGTCGTCCTTGGCCGAGACGGTTCTTGAGGTTCTCTCTTCTTTGTTTGGGACGTCGTTGCGAGCTGATTCTTTGCAAGCGTTATTCCTTGCTCCCCTCTACAATTTGTAGAGTTGCTCTGTGTCTCTGAAGGAATGGTAGCTCTACGTCGCACTGCGTATATTCTTAAAGAATGTTCATAGAAAGCTGCAAGGACCGCATGCGCATAGCTCCCTAGTGAAGGCATCCCAGTCTGGATGACCTCAGTCTCTGTGACTGCTTTTGCAGGTAGCGGGCGTTGAGCATTCATCCAGAGTTTCGGTTTTTGCGAGTCCCGGTTGGTTTCCTGGATTGCGGGTTTAGCCCACAGTAGGAACATTGCGTGCTTGCTGGCGAGAACCTGCCGTGCTGAAATCGCGTGGCGGACACCGGCCGAGAAATCACATCATGCTCTGAGCTGGGCCAGGGAGGATCATCCTCAGGATTTGGAGGCTCTTAAGAGTTGAGTTCCGACCCAGCTTCAGGGTTGCGTTTTGTAGGTTTGGGGGTGAAGTTGCTTGCGCCTCTCAGCCATAGTCGCAAATGTCTAGGTTTTATACTTGCTAATTCGCGCACATCCATGCTCCAGATGCTGCAGTCATTGTGCGCTTGCACAGCGGCTCTGCGCTCCACGATCCACTTCGTAGTGTGCATACGGAATGCCTCGTGGTGTTTTTTACTATGATTCTGATGTGCTGGCACTGTTTGTGTGTTCGTTGCAGATGCCACGACAAGTTCTGGCAGGTGATTGCACGCATGCCACTCTTGACTCACAGCGCTTGCTGACATCTTACATGACAATCTTGTGTTGTTTCGTCGCTACAAGCTACTAGTATGAAGTGTGCACGGATGCGTGTCTGACGTCGGGGTGCATCTCAGCTCTTCTTTTGGAACTGCCCAGCCTTGCAATTCCCAGACGCAGATGCGCACGCTGCACTAGCGCAGCAAAGTAGTGGCTAGCACAACGCAGGTTGAATGACACGAAGCTGTAGCCATTCCCCATAATATATTGAGACCACTAGACCCGGCACTCTGACTGCCGTCTTCGGCTTACAGCTGGTGTAGCTTGCAGTATATTCGTTGGAGGTTTGCTAAGCACAGCTTTCGATCAGACTGCATAGGGCGACTCAGGTGAATTGGTAAATATCCTGAGAAACTTGCACAACGACTGGACACGAGCCTCCTTGTAGCAGCCCGAACAGGGCGACTGACTAGAAAGAGCCACATATGTAACATTGCATACAAAGAACGACATGCGAAGTGCCACAGTGCAGGTGATGTAAGCTGAGGAACGCGGCCAAGCAAGACAAGACAACAAATTAGTTCTTAGCTTTCTCTTGATCGCCAACAGCGTGCGTTGGCCTCAATGTTGTGCATGTATGCTTCGTTAGGCTTCACTTGCTGTGGAAGGTTGCGACAGACTCTACATCTCCACATCTTCCTGCGATCGATCATCTGCGCATGCAATGCAAGTGAAAGTCTCACAATCCCACATAGATGGCTTGGGTCTTGCGTGTGAAACTTTAGCCAGGCCGAGCCCTGAACCCCACTTTCGTATTCTGATTTGAGGCTGGCCCTGCATCTGCTTTCCAATCCAAGCCTTGGCTGAGGTCATGTTCCCCTTCCCTGCACCCGCACGCTTCGCGCCGAGCTAGGGTTGTTTAGAACGAGCTGAGGGCCTTATCAAGCTGCGGTCTTGAAGATAAACAAGCATTTCAAGCCTCTCAGGGTGTCCACCTCACCTGCTCGGATTTAGCAGCTTGTGCCGACATCTTTTAGAATTCCTGAGTAGTGTTGGAACAGGTGCCCATTCAGATAGAGGGAGAAGGGTTGCGATAGCCACGCTTGCTTGTTGAAAGATGGTGGGAGCTGTAAAGACTCTGCATCTTTCGACGTGTCTGACCTTACCCTATAATTTGAAGGCCTAGAGCCTAGCAAACAGTCCTTGCCTTGAACTCGCAGCTTGAAGCTCGCGACAGCGTAGGGTATAGAGATGCGCTCCTTCGCAATTGTCGCTTTCGCCCCGTGCCATGCAGCCAGCACCAGACCTGCTCCGACGTGCCGCCCTCAGTTCTGGCAGGGAACGCTCCGGAAGCGAAACTGGGCCAGAACTACGTGGACGTGGGGGTAGTTGCAGCCAGTTGCAGACGCGATGCCTTTTTGCATCTTGCCGACCTCTGTTAGATGCACGTCCCTGGGTGCAAGCTGTAGGTTTGTCTGCCTGGCCATGTCTGCCTGTATGGTAGCCGCTGCATCTTGTAAAGAGCGGTTTTTCTGTCTAGCAAAGCCCAGACGTAGAGTGACCTAGGTCAGACATCGACGGCATGGCGGTACTCATATTCTGGACTGCTGGAACTCTGAGCACACGTCGGAGAAACCCTAGGGACCGATCCAAGTCTCATTCCTTTTGCGAAGCTCACAGGCAGCTTCACCCTCAGATCATACTAATCCCTCGCCTTGATGCGTTATGTTCAATACCGCTCCCTGCGTTCAATGGCTCGGTGGCTTTAACCCTAACATTACAGCCCAAATGAGGAGGACCCGGCGAGGTGGTGAGCTTCAGGCAAGGGTGTGCTCAAATGGTTGTGCAGTTCGAGCGCCATGGTAGCAACATGTAGCAGCTGTCTCTGCCTGTGATTCCTTCATGCTGTGGCTCCTGCCTGGCAAAGACGATGGATGAGCGATCGTACACTCAACACCTTGAACTGCGCGCAGGCCTTCCTTGCCTCAGCCACAAGGACGCGTGCTCTGGGCTCTTGGGGTTTCGAAAGGTTTCGCAATTCATGCATGCAGCTGCCACTTCAAAGTTTTGGTGCAGTCTCGTGGGCAGAAGATATGCACGAATTTCACGCGCCCTTCAAGAAAAAGGCTCATGTGACTTTGCGTCATGCTTGAAAGTGCTGCCCATGTCCAAGCCATGGACTCAGTTCTGACGACTACACACGTGGCCCACGTCACTCCTACGCGCGGCCCTGATCCAGAAGGAAGATCGGACCTACTATTCACTCCACTAGTTCACCCGATGCTGCCGGCCTGAAGCTGACGCAAGTCGCTGCATGCGGAAGCACGCACACACACAAAAAAACAAAGAGATAAAAACAAAGACAAAACTGGAGACGGGTATGGAAGCTACATCAATTGAAGCGACTAGCCTCTCGACTTGGAAAACCTCACAGTCTACTGTGACCAAGCCAGATGGGCGGGCCACAAAGTGGGGCAAGCAATGGACTTGCTGGCGTCGATGCGCAAAGGGCTGTGGCCTACGATGTCTGAGAGATGCAACTATCAGCCGCTCCAAAGCTTCAGTGGTTTGGGGGCATGAGCAGTGGCATGGGATCGCAGTGGTTGTCGCGTCCTCCGGGCCCTCGTGCACTTTCCGTGGCAAGGGTCTGGAATCATCAACGCAGGCCTGCAACGGTCCGGACACTGGATCGGCTCTGGACAGCTGTGTCAGACCACGCGCATTGAGGTCAGGAACTGCACAATGACTCAAAGTGGCCAATGTTCCGGAAATTTTCATTCTTCAATTCTGACAACTGGGCATGTCTGCCAGATGTTTGGGAATTAGGCTCATGAGCTTTGGGGTTTACATATTTTGAAGCAACAGGTAAGGGAAGGAAAGCTACACAATGCTAAAGGGTGTTTTGGGCTTGGGCTATGGTTTGTGGTCAGGATTCCAGCGGCGGCACACGACCATGCCAGCATCGCTCGATGTCCCTGATGTTCCAGACGCGTGGGAATATCACAACCGGCAGGCTCGATTGTGTGGATGTTGTGGCTGGGCGCTTGTCCTTGGTGGACAAACTGAAGCATTACAGCTCAATCCATCCGACCGCTCGAACTTTTTAACCCAAATGCCTTGACCCTCTAAAGCCTTGAACTCTCAACCCCAGGTGTCCTGAACCCCTGCTAGGCTGGCCTCCGTCACGCAAGCACGATCCAGCGTCTTTGACCTCACCTGGCTTGACTTGACCTCAGGGTTTGCCGTGTTCCGTTTGTGAGCTGACCTGAGGATTTGGGACCTAGCTCGGTATGCTGCGGGGTGTTCATTCCAAGACGGACTTGTCAGTGTTAATGTGCGCGTGTTGGTCGACATTGCCTGTAAAGCCTACATAACCTTGTCATACCTTGCTCCTATGTAACACGAATCAACGAACCCGTTTTAATTGAAAGTATCTGCAATCCGAAGGAGCCCTCTTCCCCACTGTACATAGTTTGTCTTGGAGCAGGGACTGTTCCACCGAGGTGGCACACTCCACAGGTGGAGAGACCGTCGGTGCTGCATGCCGTGTCCTGCTGAAAGGTTCAAGGATTTCAAGACTGTTTCCGCTGATGTCTATAGACTGCGCTGAAAGTCACACTCAGACCGAGCCCGCAGAACCCGCCGTATCGGTGCAGATTTGATGTGTCATCTCAAGGATGCCTTTGATTTTTCTTGTTGTCTGCATGCCTGCCCTTATCCGGCCGGCTCAGGCTTTCCAAATATCCTCTGCGCCAGTCGATGAAGGACCCTTGTTGCTGCTTGCATAAGGCTCAGAGAATCCCTGTCTAGCCCCCATTCGCTCAAAATACCCTGTCATGAGAGCTAGCACAATTTTTTTCAGGTCTATCAGGGCTTAGTCTTGTGTGTGTGCGGGAGAGGGAAGAGAACGCTTGAATCCCCGAAGGGGGGGAGGGGAAGGCATCCCCCCATCATCTGACTTGGATGCCCACCGGCTCAAGTTGCCGATGCAGTTGAAGACTTCCAAGTGCGTACCTACAAAATTTGAACGTCGGGGCCTTTTTCGATTTCTCAAACCTGCGGTTGAAAGTCGGGCCTCAAGAACATACTTCAGAGCAAGGATCTTTATTCTCTCTTTCTCTCTTCGTCATCTTGCAGTCGACGTGCCAGTCTTCGTCGGCTGTGGGGGCATGATGACTGCTTTCTTGCTACGCCTGTGTGTGTGTGTGTGTGTCCCTGTCTGTCTATCTCTCTCTCGCTCTCTGTCTCTGTCTCTGTCTCTGTCTCTGTCTCTCCAAGCCCAACAAATTAATTCGCCTGCAGTTGGCGCGGGTTTAGCTATCCATTTGGGAAAGAATGTAGGGGCTTAGATACAACTCGCGCGCGCGCGTGCGCAGGCAATGCAACGAAAACCCATGTCGCTGCCCAGTGCCGCTTTGCACACCCTGCGCAGGCACACTTATCTCCAGCAGGACCGTCAGCACCAAAGCGGTGATTCATCCCTTTCGGTTGGCCTTCTGCTTTTGGGGGGTACGAGTCTCTGATTTTGGGTTGGGGAAGCTCGTCTGGAGCAGGTTCAGTTAACTCGGTATGCATTCAGGAGGTTCATTGGACGAAAGCACGAAAGCTGCACCGCGCTCTTTCACCTCGTCCACTGTAGCCCAGCCTAGATAATTTGATTGTCCTTGGCTTCCTTCTTGAACGCATTCTATGTGGGTGCACAAGCGAAGCCAGACGCCTCAGATACATCCTTCCGCAAGATACCTGGACAGTAAGCATCACAAGGACTCAACCCAAAACCTGAGCTTCTGTCGTTCCAAAATTGTTACCCTGCAGTGTGGCTGTTCTGACTGGCGGGTGGCAAACGAAAATTCGGGAGGCTGAGGGAGAGAGAGTCCAAGCCCTTAAGACCTGAGGCAAACGAGACCGGATCTGTCGGATGATGGCCTCTGGGGTGGCCTTGGCCATCGTGGTTCTTACGCTGCTAAGCAGTCGCCAGGCCGATCAGCAATCACGTTTTACAGTATAGTTCACAACAGTTCTCAAAACGGTACCTGCCATATTTAGTCCTTTTTGCTGCAGGCCTCAGGTCTCGGCGCGGGCGCTTGTAAACATGATAACGTGAAGGGATCGCCAATCCACAATTTTTGAATGGCGTCCAACCAAGGCTCCTGGCAGCAGCACACTGTAGCTGCCACCCCCGAAGAGGTGTACAAGGCAGGGCCATGCTGATGCTTGGAAGTGTTTGGAGCCTTGGTACGTTTAGAGATGGTTTTAGATGATGAGTGCAGCGCTTGGGGTCCAGCGAAGGGGTGGAAGGGATCAAGCAGCCAGTCAAGATGTAAACGTAGAACGACACGGTTGTTGCTGGCAAGCGCACCCACTTCGCTCAGGTGTATGCTACCATGATGTCCATCCTACCTGGTGAGCATCATGTGGGGCGACCGCGAAGCTTCTCGAAAATCGTGCAGCCAGTGTTTGAACTGCAACTTCGCTGCAAACTTCTTATTTTTTGCTTCCCACTTCTAGTAACAAAAGCAGCGTCCGAATTGGCACATCCGTCGTCCGAAGCCAGTCAGCGAACATTTGGTCACTCAGCAGATTTGCACGCCCTGGTCCTCATAAGCCTGGCGCTGCATTCGGAAACAACATGCGTAACTACTCTAAGCAACGTAATGCTTTTCTTCTTACATCATTTAATGCAATCCGCATCGTGATTCTGGATAGCAGGAAGAATGCAACAATTCAAACCCCATCTGCTTCAGTTGGTCCCCACCCTCGGTGTGAGGTTGTTTGATTTGATGTAAGTTAGGTACGCATTCTTCCTACACTCCTACACCGCTGCAGAGATTCCCGCAACGTATCCATGAAGTGCCCACTCCAGAATTATCCCTGGACTTTGATGGGATAATCGCTAGCGATTTAAAATCGAATGCGATTTGGAGTTAAAATCAAGAGCCCCAAATCGTTAGCGATTTGGAATGTGGTTCTGTAAACAAGGCTCCAAAAGCCCCCCGAAAAGGCTTCGGCACAATGCGTTGTCGGAGGCTTTGGAAAATGCCGAACTCCGCCGCAAAACGAAAACAAACAAGATAAATAAGGTTTTGCGCTCCGGGTAGGAATGAATCCCAGCGATGAAACACCCCCTGCGACCCGCAAGACCAGTGGCTGATGACTAAAAGCCCCCAAGCCCCAAAAACATCAATTACTTAATCCTGCTCCTGGTAAAATGCGTTGTTGGCCGCCTGCAAAATGCATCTTGAGCACAGGGCTTGATTGAGGGTTTAGGGCTTTAGGGTTTCGGGTTGGTTTTAAAGTTGAGAGGGCTGAAAATGCGTTTTTGGGCGCCTGAAAACGCATTTTGAGCACAGGGCTTGATTTGGGTATATGGTTTTAGGGTTTAGGCTGAGGGTTTAGGGTTCGGGTTTGTGGGTTTAAGCCTTTAGGTTTTACAGTAGAGAAGGAGGAGCAGTGCGTTTTTGGGCGCTTGCAAAACGCATTTTCTGGACAGGGTTGGATTGGGTTTAGGGTTTGAGGGTTTAACGTTTAGGGTTTAGGGTTTAGGGTTATTCTTGAAACCATACTAAAAATGCGTTTCTGGAAGCCCCCAAAATGCATTTTGGCAAGCAGAGCCCTTTTGACGAATGGAATGCAAAGTCGCTCCGGGTGTGGTTGGTGCAGGTTCCCAAGCTTCGCTTGGCATGCAAAGTGCGTTTGCTGGACATCCGCAAACCCATTTTCTTCCTCAGCATATTTCCTCACTAACCTTGTACAGTCGCATCCCGCAGCACCCACATATGAGCAGCGCATACGAAACTTACACAGCGATACCAATATTAAATGTAAATGGAAAAGAGAGAAAGTGTACGAGAGGATGAAAGTAATAAATTCTCAGTACCCAACAATCTTTTCTCCGGAGAAGATAGAAATTCTAGCTCCTAAAGAAAGAACAAAATGAAAATGTGCTACATACTGCAGCATTTCCAAGAATCATTCACTTATAGTAAACATTAATACAAAGAGATGTGAGAAGCAGACAGAACTAATTCTAAGGTGCAATAATGGTGGAGATGCAAAAAAGCCGGTAAGGATACTAGCGTTTTGCGATTTGCGATTTGGCCTTCTAAATCCCTGGAGCGCCCGCCCCTAGAGAAGCCCGCAAAGTATCCCTGAAGTGCCCCCCTCTGGAGAAAGAGAACCCGTCGGCACGTCGTTCTTGATTGTTTGCTGAATTGCTGAATCCTTTCCCCTAAACACCAAACACAGCTAAAACCCTACATTTTGAACATGCTTGTGGCCGGATCCCTAGAATCCTAGCCATGCCTAGCCCAGTAGTAAACCTCGTTGACCGTTATGGGGGTCTCAGGGCTGGGGTTTATATAGGCCTTGGGTTGGGTTGGCCGGTATATCGGGCCGCCCAATTTAAAATGTCTTCCTGCCGGTTCTGTTCTCTTTCAATTAGTGGGGGGGGTTTGGTTCTTGCTGCAAGCTGAGGCAAGCGGGCCTCTTCAGCGCGTAGCTCGGTTTGTGGTCCCAGGTCTCGCGTACACACAGAGGATCACATGCATTGGTAATAATACGCCGCTCTCTTGGCCGCAATGGGTGAAGTTTTTTGCCACGCTGACGGTGCTGTTGCCAGCGATTAGGACACCAATACATCATTATTTCGGCCTATTATGCATGGTTTGTGCCTCAACCCACAGTAGGAACTCGGGCGCCACGATTGAAATTCACAGCGCCGAGTGTTTCTGGAGTCTGTGCTCGCTTCGAGTGTCCGCAAGGGTTTTAGGTTGTGGGTTTGGTCAGCGCTTCACATCGCCATGTGCTTTTGGCCTGTGCTGGGCTTGGATGGCAGCATCGGCAACCCATCAATTCTCACCATCACCTTTAGTTTGAGAGAAGCCGTTTCGAAGTGCAGAAAGTGAGGTACGTGGTCGATTTGTGCACACCCAGCTCTGGCTTCGATTATGTTGTCGACAGGGCTGCGTGCGTGAGCAAGCTCGAAGGCTTCTGTGATTCACTACGCGACAGCACCCCGAATGACAAGTGGCTCAGAGCCGCAGACAAGCTCCACAAGAGCTGCCTCAGAACTGTGCGTGGTGCACAGGGCATTTCGGTCCCTTTGCTGGGGGGTCCGGTGCACCAGCTCTGGGGCACAGACAGACCCTTGGCACTTCAGAAGTTATGCTGTGCATTTTGAGTGGATTTTACAGCTGTTGGGGTGTGAAATGCCCAGGGCCACACGAGGGCCGTAACGTTTGGTGAGCTTTCGCGAGCGAGGTTTTTCAGCTTGCGGGCAGGAAGCGAACAAAGACGGCTAATGTTGCACCCTCTTTAGTGTGGGGGCCCCCCCCCCCCCCCTGAACAGTCGAGGCGTGGATGGGAGCCTGATTACACGGCCCCGGGGCTCATATGATTTTAATAGGGAGGAGTTTAGATAGGTTCAAAAGGGGCAGCGATGCCCAGTTATCTTTTTTAAAGGCGCGCCACGTGGAATTTTCTTACGGCGCCCGGACGATTTGGCTTTAAAGAGGGACTCCCAAACAGTCAGGGTGTCCTGAATAATTCGGCCAGATTGTCTCTAAAGAGGGGGCCGATACTAAAGCGGGTGCAACATTAGATGTGACGAAGATGTCTGTCGTAAGCTTTTTGAGTCCGATCCTAAAGCGGAGCTTTGCTGATGGCCTGAGCCACCCAGGACCACAACCCTTGGCATACTTCTTGGTTGTCAGTTGTGCTGGTTCGTGCTACGATCCCATCCTGAATCAGAAATATGCCGGCGTAGACCTCAAAGAGCAGAAGGTTTTTTGTCCTCAGCCGGAATGCAGTTTATAAAGGAAGCAGCCAAGGAACTCTCCGGCGCCTGCAAACAAGTTCGGAGGACCAACTTAACGAGGGCGGCCAAACCCAAAGGGGATTAGACCTCGGCATCGAGCCGCAAGGCCGCGCGCGCGCGCGCGCGCAGGTTGTGAATTTGAAGGAGCATTGGTGAAAGCATATATAGTGTCCATTTTTTCAGCTGAGCCCTCCCCAATGACATACTGTAGCTGCCGAGCCTTTGCATCTACCACAAACCGTCTGTGGCTCGGCTGCGAAAGCACATGGGCCTGTTGACAAGTGATGCGAGAGTCTTGGTATTGGGCAGGATGTGGTGGATGAGCTGCGCCGCGAGTTTGACGTGGGCCCAGCGGATTGGATGCCAAACTTCTGCGCCACGGTGGCAAACTGCGAGCAGCTGGAGGTTGGATGCTGCACATTTGCTTCACTTCATATAGGGCTGTGGTGTTTGTTCCATCCACCAGGTATGCAGTCTAGACTCCAGACATGCTTCCTGGGCTTTGGGAAGGCCATGCGGCCCTGGAACATTGCTGTCGTGATCGCCTTTGTGGGTGGGGTCGCTCGGGCGAGACAATGGTAGGTTTTTTTGGAGGGTTTTGGAGACCTGCCGCAAAGATGCAGTAGAACGTGATTCCGACTGAGCTTCATCGGCACCAGACCATGATTGAATTCGAGGTGCTTGCGCTGCTTGCGTCCACTACAACTTTTGGCTATGACCTGTTGCGACCAGATTTGAAGAACTCCGCCAAAGGCTGCTTGTAGTGAGAACGTGGGTCAGGCATCGGGGCTTCCAGCTTGCACCCTTGGCTTCGAAGCGTTGAGAATCACAGGACATTGGACGAAGATCGGGACCAAGGGAATATGAGGTGCTGTGAGGAATAAAACACAACGTACGGCAAAGAATCGCGAGTCCCCGTGCGTGGATTGAGCATATGGGAACAGCGTCTTGCTGGCCAATAGGCGCTCGGAACGACATGGCGGAAGGACCCTGAATCCCTTGAACAAGGACTCAAAGCTCCCACATCTGCCATGACTGCCCTAGGTTTCCTCTTCTTGGGCTTGGCCTTTGCATTCCTCGCTGCAGCGGCGCTGTTGTACCTGCATGTGGCCAAGGTAGGGTTCAGCGTCTTTTGGGGCTTCAGCTCTGGTCTTCGGGTGGTTCAGTACCAGCGATGTTCTTCGCTGAGGAAACCTTCAGCGAAACCCTCGAGCCTTCAAGAAAGATCTTGGGGAGGAAAGCCAGATGTTCAGACTCGGTGGACGTGTCGTGTGCGAGCGTGACCTTTCGTCCAAAAGGACATCTCGCTTAAGGAACGCGTCAACGGAGGTGTGGGCTAGGGTAGGCAACCGTAAAGCAGAAACCAAAGGGCAAACCCAAACCCTACAAGAGAAGTGCGAAACATGGATGCGGGTGAGTGAGTGGGCTTCCTGACAGGGGTGTAAGCGCCTTTGCCTGTCTGAAATTCAATGTCAGCTCGAAGTGACGGCATGTACCGCCAAATCCAATAAACCAGAAAGCAAGAGTGAACCAACACTTTCGGAATTTGCATTTAAAGCTATGGCGAAGGCTTACCCGGTGAGCAGCTACATCCGCAGCGAGTGCCTGGCCTTGGAGAGTTTGGGCTGAAGGTTCTGTACAGGCTCAGTTGTTTTTTGACGGAGTGCCCCGACGCCTCTGTCATGCACTCGGAATGAAGGGTTTGCGACTAAATGCGGGATGCACGAAGTCCAAGCTTAATGTGCTAAACTGGAACCGACCAGGACATGCCATCCTACTCTGGAGCATATTGTGGCCGCGGCATCACCAAAAGATTCGCTCCGCATGTCAGCCTCAATTAGGGGTCCAGATGGTCTAGGAGCCTCTTCTACTTCATGCTGGCCGAGCCTGGCGACATGTCGCGAAGGCTGAAGGACTACAGGCTTCAAAAGTGCAGGGCTTAAGGATGTTTGGGCTCACTGCTTTCTGTAGACTTTCAGCTTTAGAGGCTTGGATCGTGATGGCGTGTCTTGATCAAGACAAGTGACAAGGAAACTCGCTACTGGGAGGGAGGGGGGAGCGCCTGCCTAAGATCTTGCTTTTGCAGCTTCGGATCCCCAAAGAACCCAAAAACAGGGAGAACTGCTGAAGAACTGGATGACTTAGGGTGTTCCCCCTTGTACTAACAGTCCTAAACAGGGTTTGTAGTTTCCCCCCCCCCCCCCCCCCTTTTTGTCCCCATTTAAGGGGCTGTTAGTATAAGGGGGAAATCCCACTGGATGACATTGGATGACCATGGGTTCCGTGCCGTGGTAGGATGTGCCTCCCAGTGGTCTGCTTCCGAGCAAGAGGCCGAGCTGGTCTGGTTCCAAGCAATCTTCATTAGGCTTTAGGGTTTGTAAGGGGTACCTGATTGGCGTCCTTATTATAAGGGGATCCTACTATTTGGGGGTCTTAGGGGTCGAATACTTTCGTAAACCCCCATTTCGCCGTGAAGCATCTTGAAGCGTAATCATGTCGGCATCTTTGTTCACACACGTTCACCCTCAAGACAGCCTTGCAGCACCCTCATGGTCCCATGTGCAAGCACGAATCGTGTGGCAGGTGGAAGGGCGTCTTATTGTCGTTGACGGGCTCGCTTTTGCAAGGACTCCCTGACCGCAGCATCGGTGTTGCATTCGAGTATCAGATCATGGGTGCTAAGAGCATAGAACAGGACTCGAACGCCAGTGCATGCGCCGAGGAGGAAGGAGAAAGCACGGAGAACGTACCCTAACTACCCCACCTGAAACCTCACGCAGGTACTTCCACATGAATTGCTAGGACTAATCGGACCTTCAGCGAAGTTTTGCTTCAGGACTTCTGGCGGGAGATATGTCTACCGTCTACTTGCAGCTGCAGCAGGCGGTAGACAGGGCCTGGAAGCTTGCGGATGTGCCCTGCCTCCAACTTCATGCCCGCATTCTTAGAAAAGGTCTGCTGTCTCACCGTTCAGAAGTGAATGCTGGCTCATGCACGTCAAGAACTAATATTAGAACTAAACACAGACAAGCTGAAACTTAAGGTCTTATTCCAACGGTGGCTGAAATACCTCCATCTTGCTGTAGAGCAGGCGCCGCAACCCGATCTGCAGTTCAGGCAAGCGTTTGGCGTGCCTCAACCGCTCTGAACCTGAAGCGGAGTTCAAATGTAGATTTCTTTAGGGTTTGTTGTTGTATGTCTGATGCTAAAAAGATTTGCTAATGCAAGTGCCGTAAACCACACACACACCCATTTCCCGTATTTCCCGTGAGTAAGTTGCACAGGAAGGTCGAACCTCGTGGCATTCTGGGGCTGTGCCGAGGAAAGATGGCACTCTCCTCCTTCGCGACGCCGCTGCCAAGCTTCAGGCGGTGTCTTTCTCTTCGTGCGCTGTCCAACTTCCGGTGCATGCTTCGTTCACGTTTGGCTTGCTTGCACAGTTCTAGAGGTGCAGGCCCAAGTTAAGACACAGTCCTCAACCACGACCCGTTATTCAAAGCTTCTTGATTTTCGAGCTTAATCCCCTAGCGTCTAGCCTGAAACAGCGAACGGCCTGGCAGGAACTGGATCGAGAAGTCTTGAGGCTAGCAGAGGTGGAGAATATCACACAGGACTCCGTTGTTGTTGGAGTGCTGAAATGGGCACTTAGCTTCTGCACTGCATGTCAAGGCCCTTGGCTCTTGACTGATCTGTTGGCCCGTAAATTGCTGCCATTGCTGGTCACCCACACTGCATCCAAATAGATCGCACCGTCATGCTACGTGGTGCGCTGCCATAGCGACACATGCTGTGCCATCCCTCAATCAGTCTAGGTCCCGACGCAAATCACACTACGAGGAGGGCCTGCAGCTGGCAGAACTGGGCCGACAGCTGCATCAGCAGCTTTTCAAAAGCTTCTGGACCACAGCGCACAGTGATCAACTGAATCGCGTCAAGTCTTTGACCAGAAAGTTGGGCACGAACGGGGGCTGAACACTTTTAGTTTGATGGAAGTGCCCCAATCGTAAGCCGAACCAATCAAATCGAACCGACGCCTTAGAGCCTGGAGTTCGTTTTGAGATCGAAGCGAGGCAAGCGCAGCAGCTTTTGGCATTTAACGATCAAGCAATCCAGCTGGTGAGCGACGGCGAGGCTGGATGTTGAGGTCTCAATCCCAGGTTCCGGACTTTTTGAGAATTGGAGTTTAGAGTATTTTAGAGTCATTGGAACATGGGCCAGGCCGCTTCCAGAAAGCATCATGAGTGAGCATCACCTTCCGGGAAGCATCACGAGCATCAGCTGCCCTGCAAGCGACCTCCACACCCATCATGCACGCGCTGAAACATGATGGGAGCAATGTGCACCCCTCCCCTTCCCATTCCCCCGCCCCTTTACGCCGCGCAAGCTTGCTTCAGCGAATATTGCGCCATGAATAGCATTCCTTCAAAACCATATTCTGAATCCAAACCCATCACACAAGTGTTGTATTTGCAAGTGGGCGGCGGGAGGGGGGGGATGCGGGGTGCACCCGCCCCAATCACCCTGCGGTTCAGCTGCGCAAAGCCTGCCGGTGAATGTCAGAAATACTGTACTTCACAGAGTTTGGAGCCCATGAACAAACACGCTGTGAAGAATCAGAAAGGCCGAAATCTACAGCATGAGTGGATGCTGTAATTCATAGCATTGGGCCGATAAGCAAGCAGAAATGCTTCCTTGGTTTGCAGCATCGGAGGCGAGGGGACCGCCAACCACCGGACCAAACGGGTGAGTTGTTCCTTTACCCCGAAAGCCCGAGGCTTGGGGGGCCTCGGCAGATGATTTTGATGACCCCCCCTGCGCGGGCCAAACTGCTTTCAGCCAATATCGCTAGCATCAGCTGCTTGACCTGCAACCACAAGAGCCCTCCAAGACTCTGAAATTGCAAGGTACCGCATTCAGGGGATGCGGCGCTAGACTATCTTTGTGCTTAGTATGGCTGAAGTCAGGACTTAGGATCTAGAAAGTGACGAATCTGAAGCACGGTCACTAGCGCTAGTTAGTGCCTCCATGCCCAGGACCTTGCCGGCAAGCTTTCCATGTGCTATACGAGAGTTACTCGCTTCTGGTGCTAGCCTTTCATAGTAGATCACGACCGGGCAAGGTGGATGGCCCTGCTAGAAACCTGCGTGCAGGTTGTGGTCCACGCAATGGTCAGGAGCGAGGGCAGCGTTTGGGGAGAAGACAGTTCGCAAGGCCACACTACTTAAACTACTGACACAGAAAGCTCGAGGCCATGACAAAGTTGACACGAACTTCTCGCAGGTTTCGCTTGTGGAGTGGTTCCCTTAGTTGTGTGAAACTTCACGGTTTGAGTGCTCTAGACCGCCCCAGCTGCTGAATTCAACATGAATTGTTCCTAGGTCTCAGACATGGGTCGTCATTTTAAAGCGGATGTGGCGGTGAGAAGTGGGAGGAAGGATTTCGACGGTGCAATCTGAGAATCTGAGAATCAAGCTTTTGAATGCCACACGTTTCCTCGCCTCTATCCGTGACCAAAACCACGGAAAATGCCGAGAGGCAGCCACGTGGCTAGCCAGCAGCAAAAAACCGAGCTGCGCTTAAGCCCCCCGCCTGGACTTCGAAAGGAGCTGGCAAGACTTGCAAACGCCTGTTGCAGATCTGATCCAGCGCATTCGCGATGGCTGGAAACGACCCTTGCCCTAAAACTGGAGGTTCGGTTGGATCTGGCTCGAAACCTGCAGCTGTTGGCTTTGACTTGGTTGGTGGACCGTGGATTCGACTAGACTGTGCATTTCGAGTGGTGGGCCAAATGCTTGATCTGTTCTTTATACACAGAAGCGGGGGGTCCTGTCGTATTTGACATTGAAGCCTTGCCTGTCGTGTGCGGGTATGAGCGACGACATCGAAATTTTGGTGCCGACTCGAACAGAAGTCCTGGCCGAATCATGGTACTGGTTTCAGGTATCGCGCATGGCAAGACTCTCGGGGTTAAACCCCAGTCGAAATCATGCCTCTATGACTTGTTGAGCAGTGGCCAGTTTGTTTATCTGCTGGCTAGGTAAAGCAGAAACCGTGCATGCTTGTGCTCGACACTGTCGATGAAAAGGTGTCGACATGTGAGAAGTGCAAGTTGACTGGGCTGATCTTGGCTGTCAAGGAGGAGCTTCCGGACAGATCTTCGTGCTTGCTAAGGACGACATTGTTGTTGCGCATACATGGAGCGCGCACACAGGGTTTCTTGGATTCCTGCCACCAGCTGCACATTTTCAAGCCAAGATCAGCTCAGCTTGGAGCCACAGATTTCCACGGAAGAATTGTTCTCAAAGTGCAAGAATCTGCCGCTGTCACAGCAATACCTCTTCTGAATAAATCCTCCGGAGTCACGGCATAGCCAGCCAGGACCTCGCCCTTGACAAGGCGACCATTGCAGAACAGTGTCGGCAATGGCAGGGCTCGGATTCAGACTTTAGTGGGTTCTGTGTCTTGCCTTATGTGGAACGGGTGCGGCACTTCCAGAATAAGTCAGCGTGCGCACTGTCATAGAGCGTGGTGCACAAGCATGGGGAACGTTGTAAGAGTCAAAGTCGGAGGCCTCCTCACACAAAAGCACCGTCAAGATTTCGGCACACGCCGGCCAACGGCACCCCCAAACACAGTTTTGGAGCGCAAGAAGCATTGCCAGTAAACCAAGGCAGTACCGCTGTGTAGCTGCGGGCACCGTTTGTGACAACACGTCTCTGGTTCGACACTGCTTCAAAATGCCCACACTTGGGGCGGACGAGGAGAGTTTGCGAACTGGGGCCTCAGTTGCGGATGGTTGCAAACGGCTCGAGGAAGCATCCTGACTGTGGAAAGCCTGCGCCGATCTTTGCTTGAACGGCTTGTCGTAGGAATGAGTCATAGCAGCTGCAGGGGACTAGCTAAATGTTAGCTTTTTCTCTCATCACCTCGGGGCTGCACACCCTTGCACACCCGTAGCCCATACGTGATCACAACATGACCACTTGAGCACCGGCCGCCAAGGACCTGAAAATGATCTTCACCCGCCTCTCCGACACCTTGCCGTGCTTTGGCTTTTGTGCTACTCGATTATGGGAATGCTAGGCCACTAATAAGCCCTCGCAGTCCAAAACGCGGAGCCCTGAGCATGTGGGACTGATGGACTCAAGCCTCGAAGCTGCTGAGTCTCGGGGTCTGCGGTTTCGGTTCGCTTGGAAAACCCTACGGGACGGGTGCTCAACTTAGGCATGTCTAGAGCTCGCTGCTGCTGTGCTAGGAGCCCTCTTGCAACAGATGTGCATGTCGCAATCAGATCCGAGGAAAGTTGTGAATGACGCGCACGAGGTCGGGAACGCGACTCGAAGCAATGGACCAGTCATCTGGATGCCTCTCTGCGTACTGCACAAGCATTCAATCTTGCACCCTCACAGCATCAAGCAGCTTCGCCTGAGGATTTCCATCGCTTGACCCAGAGTTTCCGACCCCTGGTGAAACAGATGAAGAGCACCCTGCACCATGGCTGATACCATTGCATTCTCGGACATGCTGCTTAATCTGTGCAAGGACTTTCCAAAGGAGCAAAAAAGCAGTGGTAAACGGCACACACACACACACACACACACACACACACCCAAACGCAAGCGCGCGCGCCCAGACCGGGATCCTATTGGATAGAGAATCCTGCAGCTTCGGGCGCATCATCCGAGGTCCCTGCAAACCTTAGCGAAAGGCACTTTGAGTACACCAATACTGCTGATGCAGAAGTCGTGATCCCGAGGAGAAGCAAAGGTTGGAAGATGCACGACATCCCTAAGAGTGAGCATCTTCGAGCCACGGACGTCGATGATGCTCACATTGGGGGCGACGCTGGGTTCGAACGAAGGAGCATCCGGAAACTCGAAAATCCAAGTATGAACGGTGAGTTTTCCGCGTTTTGAGAGACCCCAGAGGCCTGGGCAGCTGATGATTATGATGCTCCCCGGAAGTTGCCCCAAGCCGGAGGTTGGTGTGCAACCGCAAAAGGTCAGGGCTTGTCACCCTGGCACGTGGTGGTAGGCCTTTCTGCACCCACCAACTTAGGAACCCCAAGCCCAGAACAAGGAAAAGGCCAGCCGCCCATCACTGAGACTCATCCTTTTTCACAACTTCTCGCAGTCTCCAGAAGATGGT